GCTAATTTAATTTCATATTCATTAAACTAACTATGCTTATGATAACCAACTGGTTGCGCGGCGCTTTGAATGCACAAAATACATATGTACATATAAAATTTGTTAGTTCGGGGTTCTCGAAAACTGAGAATATTCTTCTTGGTCGCCCACTGCAGCTGCTAGATAAGACATCAGTGCTAGAACACTTAAACTAAGTGAATTGAAAGTCGCAAGCAATAAAAAACAATTTAAAAATACAACTTTTAATTGCTCTATTAATGAATTTTCAAGCAAACAGTGTTGTTTTGTGATAGAAAGCAAAATAAAATAAAATATAAAAAAATATCGGAAAACAATAAAATTTTAAGCAACTTCTCATATATGCCTGAAATCTACTTTCTAAAATGGCAATAAAATTTAATTTATAGCTCCATACATACATATACATACACAAACACATAAGAACAAAAATTCGCATTAACTTTATAAAAAACTAGAAGTGATGGTAGACAATTAAAAATATTATAATATATATGTATATATTTTATTATATATTCTTCATAACTTAAGTATTATTATCTATGCTGCATAGAAAAGTTGTCTTCTGTTGCGAACATTAACGAATTTTGAAATAAACAAAAATTTGTTACATAACTTTTAAATTTTAAAATAGCGATATTAAAAGCCAATAACTGATATATTTATTGATATTTGAAATATAGGTATTTCTTTATGGAATTTGAACTAGCCGAAAAATAGTATAATAATCGAAAATAAAAACATCGATATGTTCAATAAATAATATATATACAAACTAGGCACACAGTTTTTAAGCTAACGATCTGAAATTTTGCACCTGTCTTTTTCTCACTAAGAAGCTGCTCATTTGTCGGAACGGCCGATATCGGACCATTATAGCATATAGCTGCCATACAAACTAAACAATTGGAATCAAGTACTTGTATGGGAAACTATTTTATTTGACGAGGTATCTTCACGAAATTTGGCATGAATTATTATTTAAGGCAACAATGCAATCTCCGAAGAAATTGTATAGATCGATTGACTATAGCATATAGCTGCCATATTAACTGAACGATCAGAGTAAAGTGCTTGCATGGAAAACTTTTTTATTTGACGAGGTATCTTCAGAAAATTAGGCGCGAGTTGTTGTTTAAGGCAACAACGTATTCTCCGCAGGAATTGTTCAGATCAAATCACTATATCATATAACTGCCATAAAAATTGAACGATCGGAACCAAGTTTCTTGTAAGGAGCCTTTTTATTTGTGAAAGGTATTATAGCTTCAGTGCCACCGAAGTTAACGTTTTTACTTGTTTTTTTTTTCAATAAACCATCGATATACATATGTGTCGATATTTTTAGATTCGTTATATATACATATATTAATTTACGAATTTTGAATTAGCAATATTTTCTATAATTATAACAAATATGCCGATACTTTCAGTAAATAATAAAAAGAAATAAATCAAAATTAGTATATTTGAGATAAATAAATATATTTGCGGATATCAAAATCTGTTTTTTAAAGTCTATGAGTACAAGTTTCCCAAATCGATTAAATAATAGGTCAACTTATTGCTTCCTTAGCCTTTTCAAAGAAGCTGCTGAAGTGAAATGTATGCAATTAATAAAATTTAACATTTGCCAAGTAACAGATTAGGCAACTCTAATTACCATTTTGGTAGCTCGTCCCACAACGTTCTACTTAACCGGAATGAATTCGGCTTATCTCCCTTCGAAGACTGTGAACTCAATAAAGGGCATAAAGTTCGATGATTTTGCTTCAAAATCATTTAGTGCTAACAATAAAAGAAATTCTGCGTTTCCACTTCAAACCCTTTGTCAAATGCTCCATATATACAATAGAAATCGATAAGCATTGGTAGGTAGTCCCTCAAAGCAAAAGAGGATATTTTTGTTCACTTTTAAGACAACACTGATCTAAACCAAATAGATTATGTGATTCATATCGTGTTCATGTCAAAATTATTTTAAACTATTGTATTTAATGCAAACCCGTTATTTGGCTTTAAATTTGCAGAACTTCTTAGAGGATCATATGAAGTAAAAAAAAACAAATACGTATTTTAATTGAGACCATAAACTATGTATTGGACGAAGAAAAAAAGTGAAAATTGTATATTTGGCAGACGTTTTTACAAAAAAATGCAATATTTGGTGAAAATTTCTCGTTGTATTTTTTTAAACAGTTGTAATTTAAAAAAAAAAATCTTGAAATCGCCCGCATTCATTTGCGGATGAATTAAAACTAGGAGTCCAATTCGGCTACTTGTTGATGACAGTAGCCGAATATCTTCTCGATAGTAAATCGCCCTCGTATATTGACAAACTGTTAAATACTTGTATGTTAAGTTTAATTATAAACCTATAATTGTTTTTATTACGACAAAAAAATTTACTCTTTTAAAAATTTGTTACACAACATCCTAAAAAATATTAAATATATTCTTTATCATTATTTGGCAACTCTTTCACAAAAAATTAATATAAACGCTTTTGTACTCGTTTAATTTTCCGCAGTTGTATTCAAATGAATTGCTAGCAAAATGCTAAGTTTTCTATGCATTATTGATTTCGCATTTAAATCAATTGCAAATTATACACAACAATAAACTTATTTGCTTTAATGCTTTGTACTAGCCACTAAAATATGAAAAATCCCCAACACATTAGTAGCGCTTAAGTGCGCATGCGCTTATGTAAACACAGCCAGTCATTTGCTTTGACATTTGCACACATAGATAATTGTGTAAAAATATTTATGAACGTGTTTGTGTGTGTATGTGTATTTTCATAAATTACAACAGCTAATTATAATTACTTGTACAAGTTTGTTTTTGTTGCCTACGCTAAAATAATAAAAGTAACAACTTTCAAACCATTTAACTTACACGAAATTTACATATGCACATACATACACACAAACAGCCATGTGTACATAGTTGTTCCTCTTTCATTAGCTCTTTCAAGCATTTCAAGTTTTGCAGCGTTGATTTTGTAATTAACACCTCATGACTTAATTTACATTAACACATTTATCTTGTATTCTCTTAAATATATATACATTAGGGTAGCTAAAAAAAACGAATAGTTTATTTTTGCTTGGTACTCTGAAAAATAGGTTCCTAGACACCTCTACGAAAATCTCTCAAAGTATGAGCACTTGTAACGGGAAGGTCCTCCGCCTTACAGTTTTCTATTTTTTTCATATAATCAGATAGAAATATGTACATATATCTCGCTTCTAACTACTTGAAATAATATCTCGTTTCATAGATTTTGTAGGAAATTGAATGCCAGATATGAATCTTTCTATCTGATAATAAAAAAAAATAAAAACTATAAGACAGAGGAGCTTCCCTTTACAATTAAGAGCTCATAACATACTTGAATATATTTATTTATCGTAGAGGTGTCTAAGGGCCTATTTTTCAGAATACCAAGCGAAAAAAAAGTTTTTACCCAGCCTAATATACATACATACATATACAATATGTACATCTGTATATTTGTGTATGCCTATATGCGTAGAATTTTCAGCTTTATTGCTTGGCTTAGTTTAGGTCGGTTGCGCAATGATGCATGTAGCACTTGCCACCGCTGTATCGTCTACCCTCTCTCTCTCTCTCTCTAACCTAATATTGCCTAGTGTCTCGCTCGTAAAAGTTGCAAAGCTGTGATTCATTCGCTTACCTTTTAGTAAGTGTACATTTTAGAGATTTATTTTTAAAGTAAATATTGAATTGTACATACAAGTAGATATGTGAATATGGGTTCTGGTGACTCATGCCACTTGTTGTTGAAACAAATTTACGGAAAATTTGCAAAATATTTAATTTTAAGACTGCGTTGACCAAGCCTTAGCAAAGCCATTAGGGCAGTGTAAACTTATGTAAGCCATTTTGTTTGAGTTCTATAAATATAATATAAAAAGTAAATATATACGATTCCCAGTGACAGCTTTACCAGCTGCTTGGTGAAAATTGTCTCGCCATTTTGTGAGTAGAGGATTCTACAAGCTTTACAGCCTCTCGTAATGGCTGGTTACTTTAGAAGAAACTTTTTCGTCAACGAAAAGTAAGCGGATTTTTGTTATTCCCTGTCCTTAAGCGACTGCTGTTAGAAAAAAAATTTTTGGATATTGGTCGGAAACTGTGTCCGGAACGTTTGTAGTGACAACGCACACCGTTAATCACAACAGCATTGCGTTTAAATGCTATACTAAATAGTATACTGGTAATCAAACTGTTTTATCTGAATATTTCTCCGCAGTTCCTCAATTTATTCTCTAGTTAACAATGGTTACATAATCCATACCATAGCTTTTCATAGTTCCAAAAATTACCCATATTCTTTCTACATTATATTATATTATAAGTCTCAAACTAAATTGTCAATAATATGATATTCCCACCGAAATTAATTGGCATTTGGACTGGTTTTTTCCAACCCCTCTTTTAGAAATCCGACATGCCGATGCGTTCTGTCAAAATATCCTACCTATCAACTGAATCTACTACGTTTTAATAAGGCCCACTAAGGTATTATGCTCTAGGAGTCGTGTTCCGGGCATTTTACAAGTACGACGTCACTAATAGTTAAAGATACAAACATAAAGACGATTTTGTTGATAACGGAAGATTTAATTTTTCGTTTATAGAATATTAAATTTTTATGGCTTATGTTATATCTAAAAAATTCTTGTCGTATGATATCTCTTATAAAGGATTATGTTTGAACAGGGTTGAAAATAAAACATTATTTAAAATAATAGAATTAACATTTGTATTAATTTTTTTTATTTTGCAATCCCAAACGCAAGATGTTGGAATTAAAAATTAAATTTTCATTTTATAATTTTGATGTTGAAATTAAAAATTATTAAAAAAATTCCCAAAATTTTAAATAAAAAAATTCGTAATACGTAGAGTTTTGCTTTCAAAAAAAGAAAAAATAATACGGATACGGAGCAACTCTCTGAAACCGCACTTATTGCCAAATTCTTCTACTCCTTCGAGTTGATAGATCCATATTTGATTTGATCGAGTCTCTTCAACGTCCAAAATTCTACTGAGTACGATCCAAATATCTTATTAAAAACTCGCTTGACAGAACTTAATGTGCGATATCGACTAGGATGATAACAGTTGTGCAGTTATTCTATATTGGGCTTCATTTTTAAGATAGTATATGCTTCAATAACTCGAGAATTATTCAAAAATCAATGAAAAACAAATAGTCTTGAAACTCAATTTAATACCTGCCTGAGGAATATTGTAGGAATTTTTCGAAAATACTGTTCATTGGAAAATATTTCTAAAGATTGTTTTTACAAAATCTAATTCTACAAAATATGCTTTGAATTTTTATATTTATTGGGAATATTTTGTTAAAGATATATTTATATCTCAAAAAGATCTTGTAGCATATAAGTTAGAGGATTTAATTTTTATTTTTATTTCTTTAACTTTTATTTTATATTATTTATTTTTTTTTTATTTTTTCATTGTTGGTATTCTTGTTTAAATTTAAGTTAATATTTTTTATTTATATATATTTATTTTTTTTTCTTCTTATTTTGTTGTCTTTTTATTTCGCTTATAATCTTTTTTATTGTTTGTATTTTCGTTTTAATTATGTATTAATAATTTTTTGTTTTTTTTGAAAGACGCTATATAAAAAACGGTTTTTCTTAATAAGTTGGCTAATATTCATAAATATTTATGATGATAATAAAATCAAAAAAGTGAAAGCAAAGTTTTTATATGATTTATTTTTTAAACAATTAACAAAAATAAAAAAATGATCACCCCTCATGTGACTACACAACCGTTATATTATCAACAATGTGTTAACGATTTTCAAATCACGCTGTGAGAATTCAACAAGCACGACAGTGCAAACCGTCTGATTTGCCAATTTAGTATGCACAACAAAGCAGCAACAACAATAAACATTAACAATTTTCTCTTACTTTCACAATTTGAAAATCTGTAGTGCTTTTATACAAATGCTTGGTTTGCACAAATAGATCATGGAATCTAATAAATTATGCAAAAAGTTAACAATTACAAAAACAAGAGCAAACATAGTAAATACAACAACAACAACGAATCGATTACGTGTGAAAATAAAAAGTCAACAATTTGAAAAATTACACAAAATTTTACGAACAACTACGAATTGAAAACGAGCAAAAAACAAAAAGCGAAAAAAGGTACCATATTTGGAAAAATTAAAAAATAAGTTAAGAAGCAAACATCAACAAAAACCAAACCAAAGATAAACGAAGTGTATATATAAAACAAAATAAAAATTAAATACAAATTCAAAACTAAACAAACTGTGTAAATAAATTATTACAACAATAAATTAAAAGCAGCAACAACAACACAGCACGCCAAACCAATTACACCCGAACTAAAACACTTGATTAAACGACGAAGCAAACAATAATAACGCGACAGCTTAAAAATAAAATAACCAACAACAACGAATCATCAACCAAATTTCACTTGACAACCAGCTGCGGTGCTGTGACTATGTCCGAAACCGAGTTGTATGAAAGTAAAGGCAATTCCGAATCCTTCCTGCAATATGGTAATGAGAAACCGCCGCCGATTGTTGTTGTTGTCGGCGATGGTCGCAGCCGAGTGCGACGTGTGGTGCGCACGGCGACACGTCACGTGACTGTTGTCAGTTACTCGACACGACACAAAGAAACGCGCACCCATACATCGCATCACGTGACAACAGTGAGGTAAGCCAATCAAAAAGAACCAAAAACTAAAACAAAATTTAAATAATAAAGCCTGTATTGTATGTGTGCATACAATTAGGTTTACGATTATTCCTCATAAAAAACTTAAAAGATATTTATGAAAAAAAAAAACCTAGCGACCAGTGACTCGTGTTGAGCATTTGGCGGACAGCCGAATGTGTAATTCAAATTGGGCACTTTGTGGAGGTTGACTGCCCTAATAAGGGCCACCGATACGAAATTAACGCGAACTTGAGTGCCCCATAAGCTATGAGCGCGCATAAAACCGAGAATTTGTGTAGTCATTGCTACTCCTTGTAAACGTGCAGGGCGTTGTCCTTGTTTCAAAAGTATACAGCTGCCTTTTTTTGTTGTGCATTTTATGTGCGCCTTCAGTCATTTACATTGTCATTGAAAAAACTACAAAATGCTTTCCCGCTGCACGGCACGTATTTACAGTTGAAGTGTTGACACAAAGGTATTTTAGTTTGGCAGCACTGCCGCTCGCGTGATCCTGTGATACTTCTTGGTAGTGCGACAAAATTGTTGCCTACTTTTAGGATGAGATGTTTTGCGAGTGTTGAATAAACTGCAGCGATAATAAAATGTTTTTACATATACAAATTTGGCTATGTACAAACATATACATACATATGTATACAATTATAAATAAGTCTCTTCTATACAATTAGCGGTTATTAGAACGAAATAATAATATTTATTATGTTTCAGGGCTGGTGCCACAATATTAAAAAAATATATAATGTTTTACTTGACAAGTTTTCAAAACTGTTTCCAGAGTGGTAAATGATAAAAAAATAATAGGATGACGGAAACTGTAAGGTTCGAAAGTAATTGAAAAGAAAATGTCAAAGATGTTTTAAAATCGGCTCAGCTTCGTAAATTTTAATACCTTTCCCATACGGAAACCTTTCGACTAAAAAATTTACGAAACATTTTTATTTTATATGTGTCATAGAACTTCCCTTATAATGTTTCTATTTAATACAATAAATGCTTTCCTTTTCCTCGTTGCATACTTTAAAGCGCTTTTCTTGAACTTTTTACAGACATCAAATACAAATCCAATATTCGGGTTTAGCAACTTTTTGCGTTAGTACCGAACTATATAGGTACACAATGTTAAAAATAGTTAGGATTTGTTTAAACTTTCGACGTTTATATTATATGTAGGTGTAGATTTTATTTTTTTATATGAAAATCTGCTTCATTTTAAATCGAAAACCGTTTAATACATAGTTATAAACTTTCAAAACATTTTTAGTAGGTTTACATAATACAAAAAAAAAACAGGTTTTGAAAATTTCGTTTTTTTTGTTTCAAAATTTCGAGTTTCAAAAAAATTACTATGCACTTTTATAGTCTGTTATATAATGTGATAATGTGCAAACTTATTACACATACATATGTATGTAGCTCCAAATTCGCGTTAAATTCTTCGGTATCAAGAGTGAGTTTATGGCACGTTCGACTTCGTACGCATCTGCCTAAACTATTATTTTTATAATATTAACCAGCAAATAACTAAAATTCGCTGCTAATATAATGAAATAAAAAATTAATAATAATATAATAAAAATAATTGATAGGGCAGAGTTTACGTTCGAAAAATATCGAATCTTCAATATCAAATTTGATTTCATTGGCATTTTTGTACCCTGAACAGGGTATATTGAGTTAGCCGCGATGTTTATAACACCCCAGAAGAAAACGTCGGAGACCTTATAAAGTATATACATATATAAACAATTAGAGTGGCGACCTGAGCCGATTTAGCTATGTCCGTCTGTCTGTCTGTATACATGCGAACTAGTCCCAGTCCCTCGGTTTTTGAGATATCGATCTGAAATTTGGCTCCCGTCCTTATCTCAACAAGTAGCTGCTCATTATTCGGAACAGCCGATATCGGACCACTATAGCATATAGCTGCCAAACAAACTGAACGATCGGCATCGAGTGCTTGTATGTAAAGCTTTTTCTTTTGACGAGATATCTTCACCAAATTTGGCATGGGTTATCAATCAATGCCATACAAACTGGCCGTTCAAAGTACTTGTAAGAAATATTTTGTATTTGTGAAGGGTTTTATTGCTTAATAACGTTTTTCCTTGTTTTATTTTTTCTTTTTAAATCTCCGTAGTTAAATATGCATATGTTTATAAAACTGGAAAAGTGAAGGCGCTATTAAAAGTAATTACAATACAACAACACCAAATAAATATAATATGTTTACAGTATGCCAATTAATATTTATACTTTGTACTCGATGGTAAATAGTTCAGCGCGTTACTCATGACAGTAATCAAAGTTAAAAGTTCAAAGTAAATTACTGCCGACATGCAATACGTACTCCTTATATTCATACATACAAGTACTATATATGTATGTTTATATGGATAGTGTGTAAATATAGAGTTACTGTGTATCACCTGCGTGTATGTATGCATATATATATTGGGTTTTCTAATAGCAATTTCCGATATAACTTTTAGATATTTAGATTTACATGCCAATTAATTTGTGTGTGTTGTTTGTATATTTGTGTGTATATAAGTCCATTTCTATTTGTATGCATGTAGAGTGGTTTAAATGTATGACGACGGCGCGCGTCTTGCGGCGCGCTTCAAAGTTCAGCAACTAGTGGCGACTGCAACTTGTTGCATATTAATAGGAGCGCAACAGCGTCATAAATGCATACATACAAGTTCTTACGTATGTTAGTGCTCAAATATGCCTAGCTGTGTGTGGCAATAGAATTTTTCATTTCTCTAAATATATTTGTTCACCTCTAATGCGAATACGGAGAGCACAAACAAATTTATAGATATTAATGTACATATGTACATTAGGGTAGAGTGAACTGTGTTTATTTATCATTATTATTATTTTTAATTTCTTTATAACAAACCTACAGAAAATTTCAATATATTTTACTTGCATTATTCGAATTTTTATTTTATTTTAATATAAACCGAATCTGTCCGGATTTCAACAGTATGAGCGAGTAATACGTATGGATATTCGAATATGCGATTAGTCTCAGCACTAGTACAAAGTTAAACACATATTACAGTCTAACTGCGAAATATCAATAATATCGAAAATGCCAAAATTGCGTAAAAAAAGGCAATGTGTATGAGAAAATTATCGATAATTTCGATTAATTAATGATTTTTTGACATTCCTAGTATGTTGATAGTTGTTCCTGTCGTCTTTAGTTTATTCTAATAACCCTAAATTTAGATACCATTATATAGATACAATACATTTATTCTGCTTCTTTTTTGTTTTTTACATTTATTTTTCAAATTTATTTTGGCTGGAGTCTCATTTATCCGTTATCCTTAGCAGCTTAGCTTTATAATTGTTAGTAAATAGAAATTACAGTTATTTAAAGAAAAATGTCTTTAAAAAAATTTACTCACATACAATTTAACGCTTCACCCTAATATACAGACATACATATGTGTTTGTGTGCTTAAAAGCAATCAAATATATTATTTTGCTATTTGCTTGTTTTCCAGTACAAATATGTGCATACATATATTGTTGTATATTCTAGTTGGTTTTTAAACGTTCTATATGTAAATATGTATACACAAATATACATATATATACGAGCATATGTGTATAAATATATGTATGTACGTAATTGCCCATAAGTGCACGTTCACGAGTCTCTACGGGCAGTGGCCACGTGATGAGCTACAGATTCTAGCATATCAGTTTATATATATTATATGTTTGTCTGTTTGTGCAATGTAATGTAATCATAAGTACTGCATTAATATATGTATATACACATACGTACTTATATATATAGTATCATAAGTACATTCATATTTATGCGAATATAGCCATATGTTTGGCCTTCCTTGAAAAATAGTTAATGCAGTGGCTTTGTAAAGACTTGTTATGAATTTGTATGTATGGATGTATTTATACAGAAATATATTTAAATTTACACATATATAGATATGTACATACATGCATATATACAGAGGCATACATTTTTATTAGTATATTTTTGTGTATATCCTTTTTAGCTGCGCCTGGCCATCATTTGCTGCCGCGTTTCGCTGCTTTTTACACGTACACATACAAATATACACAGTGTATACATATTTATATAATTGTAGGTGCAGAAGCAGATGTTTTGCTTTCATCCGATACCTTTCACAAAATTATACACCAGTTACAGCAACGCATATCCTTTGCTCGCCATGCTGTTACGTTGATTTATAAAAATAAAAACAAAAACACTTCAACACATGTGCGCTTGTGTACGGATCCTGCTTGTTATATTGTATAAGCATTCGAGCCACAGGATCAGCTTATAGTTTTGCAATTGGTTTTTGTCTTCATCTTCATCTCCGTTTTCTTTTATTTTTTTCATTTTGTATTTTCCCGCTACCTGCTGTCTATGTGTGTGGCTTTACTCACACACACGCATACATACAATTGGCTGAGCACATGTGTGCGTGGAACGCCAGGTGCAGTTGCTTTCTGCTTTTGTACGGCTTTGTTTGGCCGAAAATGATGCACCTTTTGCTACATTTTTTTCCGCCTTCCTTTTTTGTTGTTGCTGTTATTTTGTTTTATTGCTGGCAGTGATCATGCTGCCTTTGTTGCTACTGCTGTGCAGGCTTACTGCTCTCTTATTGTCTGCAATGTGCACATTTACGTTATTGTTGTTGTAGATATGTTTACTACTTCAATGTGTATCCTAATTGAGTGCTGGTGAATTTGTGTTTTGGTACTTCGTAAAGGTGTTTTGGTAAACGAAAGGTAACCTGCGCTTCACTGGGTTATGATTGAGCTCAAAGACTCTTTAAGCTGTAAAACTTTTAATAACATTAATATTTATTACTCCAAATTTCAATTAAAAAAAAAGTTTAAGTATGAAAAAAAATTAAAAGTTTTTAAAATTTATATATAACTATTAAAAAACAAGTTTGAAATATGTACAATGTTATAAA